CGATGACAAGTTTGTTAGTCGTCCATCCATAACACCGTCTCAAGAAAAGGTTGAATGTTTATCTTGAAAATTGCGATGAGGACTGACAAGGTTATTTAGAAGTGTTTCCTGTATTCGTTCTACATTGCTGGTCATGGAGACTTCGAGATTTACCACAATGAAGAGAACAAAGAAGTAGCAGAATACAAAGAGTTGTAAGTCAGCTGTATGGACTTCTTTGTGCCATTTTGTATGATTGATCTTGCGCTGTTACCTTATGGCAAGTTGTGTTTGTGCTTTGTCTCTTCTGTAATATTTATTCTGGTGAGAATTGCATAAAAAGAAATGTACTCAGTGAACTACTGAGATACCGTTTTATATGGTACTGCAAGAATACCGCTCCGTGTTGCATTCCAAATACTAATCACCGCATTTTTGAAAAACCGGAGACGACCGACGACAAAAAAGGGGACAACACACAAAACGTCTCAATTGAGACGTTTTGTGGGATGTCCTCTTTTTCGTGGTCCGACGTCTTCGGTTTTTCAAAAATGTGTAACATCAAACAGCTCGCCTGCCTACTCACTCTATCTTCAACCAATCACCGGCATTTATTTTCATCAGTTCGTAGCCAACAATATATTAGATCCCCGAGAGACAGAAGAAACATCATTCAATGATGACGCTGGCTCAGCAAACATAAAACCAGAACAATTATTCCGAAATAGCGTAAGCATTATGACTGGCTGGCTGATTTTTTACATGCTTGTACGTGAAGAATACGAACATGTGAAAATATCTGTTTCACGCTTGAATTCTTCAATTTCTGCGAGCATGATCCGGCTTTTGTTGCGTAAAATATAAACGATTAGAAATATAAAGGCATTCGGATGCTGTTGTTTTTTGCCACAAATAGTACGAACCTACTGGAGCGCGATACGTCGCTCGCCCTTTTCACTAATCAAACCGGTCAAAGGACTTTTGATGCTTGGTACATTAGGGACGCATGTAGGCGCAGTATGCGCCCAGGGGGGCTTCTGGAACGTGAGGGGGTAACCAGCGGCGCACTTACAGCAACCGCACAAATGGGTCTCCTTACGTCGCCACGACCTGAGTGGGAAGTCCAGACCTCCTCCTACACTTCCCCACTACTCGGCAAACGGCGAAGGCTGCACGTGCGTCTCCAGAGAGTCAGTCAGCGGGTCGGAGCGAGACAGACGAACAACGTATAGTCGGAGCACTCTCCTCCTGCCGACAGCTGTCGCCAGGTGTCTACACGTTACTGAAATAAAGTAACTAAATACCGTTGCACGTTACTCACTCAAAAAAGTAACTACTAAGCATAGGCTACTCGTTACAGCGATTCAAAAGAAAAGCGTTACCTCAGCTTGGATCTAACGCGTTGGGTTTTCGTTACCCCGAAGGCGGCGTTTTTTATAAAGAAGTAGCGGCTTCCAATATTTGTCGTTGTTCGTAATTCCTCGTTTTTTTAACGGGTTCATTCGGGAATAGCTGTGGCTATACTGACATATACCTCCTGCACATCTTCTTACGGTCTATCTAGCGTTTTCTTTTCGTTCAAATTTACAGTTTCGAGCTGGGGGTAAGAACTCTTGGTTGTCTACTCGTGTCGTACACGCTCCTCCTCCAGTATAGTAACAAATACCATTATACGTTATTTCATCAAAAAGTAACGAAAATGTTCTTTCTCTTAAAAAAGTGCCCAAATCGTTGCTTCCTTACAAAAAAAAAGAAAAGAAAAGAAAAAGCAATTAGGTACAAAATAGCGCCTTATGTACAAGCCTGGCTGTTACGTGTTTCGCTCGGCGAGTCGGGAATCCACCGACGACGACGTCATGCGCAGGCCTTGTCTTCTAGGCGGCATCGCTGCTTCTCGCCGACGCCGGCGTCGGGGATGATTACAGAGTCCCGCGATGGCGGACCCCAAGTCACGCCCAGCGGATCATCAACGCCGGCAACAAGGTTCCTGCGCTAATCCACTGACCTACTTCTCCGCGCCAAGTGCTGGTGTTTAGACTCTTAACGTCGGTGCGATGCTATACAGGCGGGAATGTGTTCTTTGGAACGGCGAACAGACCTTTGCATCGCATATCACCCGGGCGAAAAATGCTCAGTCACTGAACTGTAGACGCGTACGCAGCGTCTGATATACCGCACAGCAGAGCAACAGTGCACGCTCAGAAGGCGTTCCACAGCCCAGCAGACGAAGATTGCAGAACGCAGAAGGCGATTTTTGCGAAGCTCTATATAGATGAATCATGTCATCTGTCCCTGAACTGTTTCACTTAAGCCGCCCACACACTATACAAGCACGTAATACCAAAGACACGGGGCATTCGCTCCGGACAAGATGACAGGATTATTTCCCGATATACCTCAAGCACGTTCCAAGTATGTTTGCTTCGGATATACGTATACTTGGAACATGCATCCTGCAGACAGCGCTTCTTTGACCAATGTAACAGGATTGTCATACGAGGAAGGAATACGTATAAGGAATACGTAAAAAGAGTAATACATTATAAGTTTATTCGAAATAAATACCTGTAAGTTTTGAGTTTTTCTTCATTGCATGGTTACGAGGCACCGCCTTTGAAGTTCGAAAACGTACTGATATGCTGCATTTGGATTTGCTTGGCACTGTGTCGTTTGTCTTTCTTTGATCAGTTTAATCTGAGAGACGGGTTGATCATAAATGATATGCCTCAATGACCGTACGGTATCGGCGGAAAAATCGGTGGGCGTCTTCTTTTTATCCCTCAGATGCCATTTGTATTGGGATGCGATACCAATCGCCCTCCTCACTGGCAACACGAGTGAAAGGAACACCGACTGCTGTCGTATAAAGCGCACCACGAGGCAGTATAACCGCTCATTTACACTGGAAGCGGATCCGCGTTTGCGAAGCGGTTGCGAACGCGTTTGTATAAGGGTCGAGTACAATTGCACGCGCACTCGATGTCATCGAGTGAGCGTGCCATTGTACTGGATCTTTATACAACCGCGTTCGCAACCGCTTCGCGAACGCGGATCCGCGCTTCCAGTGTGAATGAGCGGTAAGTGTAGGAACTTTAGAGAGTGCGAGCAATTTATACTAATGATAACCGAGTAACAAAAAAAATAGGTTCTGTTAAGGCTTAAACAATGGAGGTGGTGAGTTGTGTTTACGGCGCCATGACAATGTAGCGATACGTCTTCACAGTCAAGCTATAGAAATTAACTCGCAACAAAAGTGTTCAAATCCACTTGAATCCACTATCAGGACGGTTTCCGCCCCAGAAAAGTTGTGAACCGCTATACACTGTGGTGTGATGTGCCCTCCGCCCTTGTTGACCATACATGGGTAAATTACTTTCAAAATGTAATTTAATTACAATTACAATTAGTTTGCTTCAAAACTAGTTTAATTACAATTACAATTACTTTGCTTCAAAAGTAGTTTATCAAAAATTACAATTACTACTACGTGAACAGTAATTATTACAATTACAAATTACTTTTAAAAAGTAATGATATTACTTTACAAATACTTATTTCTGAGAGCGACCCGACTTGGGCCATGTAACTAAACAATTTCCATGGAATGAAACATATTTGTTCATTCCTTGCCCCAATGTTTGAGGAGGCTTACTTAAGCATCGCTGCATAAATGTTGTATATTTTTTTTTATACATTTTGTTAAGTTCATGATGGAATTTGACAGTTTGGGGCAGCGAAATGCTACATTCTGATATCTTTAATAAATAATAATAAATCACTTCAAATCCTGAAAAACGCCAGTACGCAAAAAAAAAAAGTGGGTTGACAGACTTTTGTTAGCCATGCAGGCAAATAAAATACGACAATTAGTTATATATGAATATTTTACAAGTGTTTATATAAAATAAAGTCCGCACGCGCTGTAACGACTGCATTCCCTTACAAACATCATGGTATCGTAAATTATTTACATTGAGTTGAAATTATAATGGCTCAGAAATACATAAGAACCGAATCGGGACTCCCGAATCATTGGTGACAATGTTCACAGGTGCGAGGTGAGTGTCCAAATGTTATGCTAAATGTTGGATGTTATGCAAATAATATCCAAAGTAGAACAAACAAAAAATAAACTTGAAGATAATAAAAGATTAAAATATGCGACAGTACTGGAAAAGAGACGTAAAAAAACTGGCAAGAAATAGAAAAGCAATTTGATATACAATTACAATTCCCAACCTCGGCTGAAAGCTGAAGCTCCATTTTTTTTTCCTTTCAATATTTTGCCATGTTTACGCTATTGTTTTCTGCTCGCACAGCAGACGGCGCCACACGGCGCCGTTGAGGTAGGCTCCAAAGAGGATTGTTTCTCAGCCCGCAAGCAAAAAAAAAAAAAAAAAAAAAAAAGCAATGCGACACAATTTCTGTTGTGCATGTGTGCGTGAGTGTGTTTCTTTATGCTTGTTGTTCACCTAGAGCTAGGCCGCTTGTGCGAGCGCTGAGGCTTTCAAGGAGGTTCTGTTGGCGCCTCAAAGTTTTACAAAAGTAATTGTTATTGTGCCGGAAATTGTGCAATTACTCGCGCTAGAAAGTAATTAAATTACAATTCTTTTTAGCAGAAAGCAATTAATTACAATTACAAATTACCAAGAAAAGTAATTAAATTGCAGTAATTCAATTACTGTAATCGTAATACTACCCAAATATGTTGGTGACGAACCAGGTAGTCCAGGCTTTGGCTTATGATTACTCTTTTATGTCGTAATATTTTTATACTTGGGTGAAGCTGCTGATAATGAAAATAATATTACCTGAAACTGTGCTAACTATAGCAAAACGTCGTGGCAGTTATGCATTATGGTATTCCTGTTTGCATGTACGTGACGAGAACGCCAGGAATAACATTATAGCACAGATGGGAAAAGAAGTTCAATCGATCGAAAGCCACCACCAACCAGCTAAAAGAACACAAAAGAACCACCCCCTCCCCCATCCATGCAAAAAACAAAATGTTTACTCACGCCTTACGGCCCATCCTTTCAGATCCCTGAAGGCCTTGAAAGTCTTCAGCAACGCCGTCATGCAGTCCACGGAGACATCCAGTTCCGAAGAGCCCTCCACGACATACGGGAAAATCTCGTTGGCGACGGCGTCAATGTTCACCTTAGACTTGTTGACCTGATCCTCCCAGCTTGTGTTGCTGATCTCCTGAGGACCTTGAAAGGGCCCCTGCGACTGCCCTGCGTCACTGTAAACCAGCAGGAACGCGAACCCTATTACCGCCACAAGGACCAAGTTAAAAAATTGTTGCCTTCGTGCCATGACGCCTGCGACCGCTACTGCAGCAGAGCGGCTTGGAGAAGGTTGTCTCTTGAAGACGGTGCCTTGGCGGCAACCGTCCGAAGATGGCGGAGCTTGAGGACAGCAACTCAATGACACCTGCTTGAAGACCGTAACTTAAAGACCGCAAGTTGAGTACACCAACTTGGAACAAGAGGCCTGAGAGAGAACTGCTTCAAGACTGTCGTTCGAACCGATGTCGCTTTGAAGACAACTGTCTGAAGATAGTGGCTCGAGGACAGCAACCTGAGAACACCTGCGCGAAACTACGGCCTGAAGCCAGACGCCTGGTGAGAGCCACTTGATGACACTACAGCTTGGAGACAAGGCTTGGAGACGAGAGTCTGAAGACGGTGCCTTGGAGCAAGCAGCTTGAGGCAAGCGGCTTCAGAACGACCATTCGAAGACAGCGGCTCGAAGGCGTGCACTACGCCGGCTCGTTGTGTCACAGGGCCGTACAGCGGAGCAACTCCCTGTTTCTGCAGGACGTTCAGCGAGCGCCGACGGCCGGAGCGGCTCTGGAAGCATCGTCCTGGTCTTCTCCTCACCGGCGCCGTGGCCCCAATTATTGACCTGGTTCCTGGGAGGACTTTCGCTACGTGCACCGCTCGCTCTTGCGCGCTCTTGCGCCTCGCCAAGACGCGGCCGTTTTCGAGGGGGGCCTTTGATTATTTTTTTTTTTTCCCGCTCCAAAGCGGACCGGCTGAGGAGAGCACCGCTCCTAATGGTGGTGTTGCAGATGGATTTCTATATTTCTTTCTTTTACTTTTCGAGCGCCGTTACGCTGCACGACCGACGGACTGTAGGCCGTAACGGCGCAGAGACCGCGCCGTGCCTGTGGAGTGGCGATACGACGTTTCGGCGCGCATGTACTCGCGACCCTTGATTATTGGCGTGACATCAGCGTGCGAAAATGACCGTATTGTGACTGTATCTGGGGGACATTGTTTGTTGTTCGCACGTTAGAAAAAAAACTTTAAATTGAAGGGCCTGTGTTTTTGTTTTTTTTAACTTAGCAGATTTCGAAAAATTTTGGAGAGCACGCGCGTTGGTAAGATAAAGAAGAAGGAGGGGAAGGGGCAGGGTCGTGCTTGTTGTATACGGAGTAGGATTGTATTTGGACGATCGCAAATTCGCAGCTGAGGAATTTTATTATATTCAGGGAAAGTGAAAAGAAAGGGGGGGGGGGGGGAGGGGGGACAGTACCGAACGCCTCGCGTTAAAGGGATACTGAACCGAAATTTGGATTTCGCAAAGTTAGGCTGCAGAAGTGTTGAACGGGACGCTACGAACTCCAAAACATCACTCGTACATTGATATATCAAACGATGGCCGTACTTTTGGAAAAAAAAGGGCGCGATCAAGTGAGTTCTTTGACGTAACTGTCCCCCGGGAGAATTTGAGAATGAGGATAAGCGGCCTCGCTTCTCTCCTCCTCGCTTCGGTTCACCAGCTTGACGGGACGTAGCGCGGAGGAGAGAGAATGGGAATCGTGACGTACCTTGTCTCGCCGGCCTCGTCGGCTGGGTTCAATCGAGCACTTTTTAAAAAATACGGCGATCCGTTAGATATATCGATGTATGAGTGATATTTATCGGTTTTGCAGCTTCCCGCCTATCCGCCCGGCCTTGTTCAGTGAGCTCGAAATTTCGGTTCAGTATCCCTTTAACAAATTAGACCCCAGTATGGAATACGTATAAAAATTAAACTCGAGAAACATAGGGTGTTCACAAGAACTGTTAAACACCTGGATTCAAAAATCGCTTATATGCATCGTTGCGCAAGCATGATTTGTCAAATTTGAGCATAAAATAAGAGAGTCCACAAGGACGTACCGGGACCCCCATACACAATATTCCCTAGAAACAATCTGCCCCGGATACTTCCTAATATTTGGCAGAAAGTTTAAATTTTTACTATGGAGGGTTATATATTTGTTTAAGGTGGGTTCCATCAGGCCAGAATGTATTATTCCTGTCTATTAAAAAAAATATACAACTGCAGAGCGTGATGTACCTCAAAAAGTAGGAATGATTTCCTTTACAAAAATAAATAATATTTCACGATAAGAAGATGCAATGACCTTACAATCTATTTCAATTGCAACGATGAAACACCCGTGAGAGCGTTAGATAAATATATATAAAGAGAGAGAGAGAGAAAGAGAGACCTCTATATAAATGCGATAGTGTATGCCGTTCACATCCATACGTTCCCAAATGGCAGGCGGCAATAGGCGGCTGTGGTGATATTACACGGAGGGTCTCCGTGTAATGTGAATTTGGGAGAGGCGAGGGGGAAAGGTGACTATGGTGCGAAAAATTCGTCGTTTTCGGGCTATATTTGCGTCGTTGTCTCGGCACGCTTTCTTGGAAAGATCTGGAGCTAAGTTTGCATCTGTTCTCTAGATCGTTGGAGGGCCCTAGGAACCCCCCTCGGAAAGACAGCAAAAAGAAGAGAGCATTCCACGAAATGACCGCTTTCTTTTCGTCCGCGAACCTGGGAAACGTGGGACGAGGCTAGCTCTGTTACGTTAACAAAGGAAGGCTGCGATCCGCGCCGCTATATTTACGCCTTGGCGGTTTTCGCTGACCGCAAATACGTAGTCGAGACAAAAAAAAAAAAAAAAAAAAAATGAAATGAAATAGGCTTTAGTCAGTATTTTGCTTTCTTTGCTTTTTGAAGTATCAAAAACGAGAGTAGAAATAACCCCCCAACCCCCCCCCCCCCCTCCAAAAAAAAATATTGTTAAAATGAAGTTACGCGTCACCGAACGCTCATTTTCCGCCCAAATGTGTAGCCCTTGCGGTGCGAACCAGATGTCAAAGTTTCTGAACTCATCGTTTTTTTTTTGTTTTTTTTTAGTCAAAAGTTATACTAATTTTATTAAGTTTTCAATGGAAAAATGGCGGCCGACGGACCTCTTATAATACATGCTGCTCAATGGCGCCAGTTACCGAAAACGGCCGGAAACGGCCGAAAACGGGCCCGTTTCCCATTGAAATGTTCAGAAAATGACCTTAACTTTGTTCTGAGATAACGGAGAGTTATGAAACTTTGGCATCTAGATCGGTCCGCTAGGGCTACATTTTGCCAGAGAATGAGCATTCGGTGCTGCATAGTTTACTTTTGCGGCAAAAAAAAAAAAAAAAACCTGCAGTGGAAGGGGGGGAGGGGGAGGAGGCACTCTTGAGTTAAGGAATGTGAGACACTTTTTCCACATGTGTGTATCTGCGCGTTAATTAAAACTTGTACGATGTAACGTAAGACGCGCAATAAATGAAAAACTGAAGCACCTAAGTGACTTTGCCGACTGTGTCAACTTACCACAGCTCGGAGCACGTGGAGCGCAAGCTCGCGTTGCAGAAGCCAGGGATCCTGGGTTAAATTCCCACCCTTGCTCGTTTCGATCTGGATGAGCATAATACTGGCGTGAGGTCGTCTATCAGTACTGAGTGATGCACGTTAAAGACCCCAGGCTTGCGTAACGCACTGGCTAAATTTCTCATCAACAGCTGATACACTCGACGCCCGCTGAGGCTGACTAACCTCCGAATGTCTAAGCATACACACAACACAATTATTATTCATCAACAGACACCATTGTTTTTCTTGTAATTTATTTCCCAATAACTTTAAAGTTTATTCAGCTTTTTTTTTTTAGCTTGTTTGAAATAGACATTTGGCTTTATGCCTTTTGGGTGCGAAAAGTTAATTCCTCCCTACATATGGTGCTTACATTTTGCATCTTAGAGCCGCCTGAACGAAGTTCTAAAAAGAAGGAAAAAAAAAACGGCAACTACAAGCACATAAATCTGTCTAGGTTTATCTCAAAACAACGCGAAAACAGAAAAAAGAAAAAAGAGGCGGAGACTTTGGGTTCAAAGAGCGACACAGTTTTCGGGTCCTTTCGTAACATCCTGGACGCGGCATGAAACTCGCAATCGTAACGCGGCCGTGTTCTTCTTCCGAATCAGTTCGGACCGCGAAGCGGACATAAAAGCGCTGCTCTAGGAAACCACCCTGCGCGCCTTCTCAGCCGAACGTTTTTCTCTCAAGATAGGCGTGGGGAATGAAACGGCGCACGTAGCATTTCAAAGACTCTCCTGTCGTGTCAGTGACCGTGAAGCTGACTCCGTCATGGTCATCTTTCCGTTCGGAGGTCTCCGGTTCGTACCTTTTTAGTGCTGCTTATTTGCGTTGACCTAGCCTTCCTCTTTTTTTTTTTTTTATGAGAATTTAAACGTTTGTCACCTTGAGCGTCACCTGACCTTGATACGCAAAGTGGCGGGCACGAACTGAAAAATGTACGTAGGGTACATACAGCCCTACTCGCGTGCGAGCCGGATTTCCGCGAAATGGTTCCTACGGGTAAAAAGCAGACGACGAACGTAGAATCGTCTGCTCTCTTTGGGAAGCAGACATTGGCTGTGTTCCAAATCTTACCGAAATGGATCCGAGTTACTCCGGCGGGTCGTGTCACGTGACAGCACAGATTGCAAAGCGCTGGACGCGGGAAGGTTTTAGAACGCCAAGGGTACAAAAACCCTTGCCCTGGAGTAAGATCGAGTAAATTTTGGAACATGACCATTGACGGCACGCAAAACTGAATGTGTTCACCGATTTCAAGCGATGTGCCCGTTGTTTCGCATATGTACGTAAGTTTCAATAACAGGCGATCGCAAAGCCGTGGTCTCACTACTAATAGCATTACATGAAAACAGTCTTGTAGGCGTTGCCGAAAAAAAGTAACAAAATACGTTACCCGTTACTTACAAATAAAAGTAACGCGTTACCGTCCTACGTCAGCTAGAGATAAAAAGAACGCGTTACCATTACCATTACTGATAAAAAGTAACGCGCGTTTCTTTTTAAATTGTGAATTAACAGGTTTTACCGTTTTGACGTTGGAGGTATGTATAAGCGCCATATTTCAACCATGCAGAAACTGAACATAATTACTCTATCTTTTTTTACGGTTTCACCTAAATACTCACAAGACAAAACGCAGAAGATTCAAAAACTAACACGGCTTGGCACTTAAAAAAAAGAAAATTAAATTTAACTTTTTTTTTTATCGTTTTGGGAAGAAAAATTAACGAGTAACGTAACTCCGTTACCCATTACTCGAAATAAGCTACGTAAGTACGTTACCCGTTAATGTTTTAAAAACGTAGCGCGTTCGTTACGCGTTACCAAAAAATAAACGCGTTATCGGTAACGTCGCTGCTTGTAACGGGTTACCGAAAACACTCTATAAAAGACAAGTGTGCTGACGCTCTCTGAGTCGAGTTTCTTACGTCCCAATCATAGTGGTCAAACACAAATTATGTATACGAAGCATACGTGTGTATGAATACAGAACATTTCGAGCATGCATAAGGCGGGTCCTTAGATAATTCTGTCGTAATGCTTGCAGCCAACACCGTGTCGTTTTTATGATGAATTGGTGGTGCGACTGCCACTTTTAAGAACCAGATAAATCTACACGGTTTTAAATTGAAAGAAAAAAAAATATATATATAGGAGAATAATCTGCTATATCTGGAGAGCAGACGACGTGTGGAATATTGGAAAACTGATCGAGACCAAAGCGGTCATTCTGCCTTTATACACGTCCATAAATGAACACACTGGTTGGAGGAACCCAATATAAGCGCGCTCGATTCCTTTCAAATGAAAATATTAAAAAATATAGCCGAACAGTTAACCACACTTCCCGTAAAAGGAAGCAGACGACCGTTTCACGCTCGCTCACGCGCGCGGGTCGAATGCGGCCGAAGACTTCACGGCCAAGGTTTCGTACACGCCGCCGCGGATTATCGCGAGTGATCTGCTCGCCCGCTGTTCGTGCAAACCTCTCTCGCAGCAGTCAGTGCCACCTATAAGATAAGTCCTGCGCACGACGTCATCGTCCGTGGACCTCCGACCCGTCCCGAGCGGCAAACGCGCCGAAGCTCGACGAGCGTCGCCGCA